GGAGCTGTTAGCACAAACCTGCATGCAAGGTGGCCATGGGCTTTGGTCGTTTCATTACCGAGATGAGGTGGATGTATGATCCAGCGGCACTCATGGTATATGAACAGCATTTTAGGAGACCACTGCTCACCCCATAAGGGGAAAAGACAAGAAAATGTGCCACAAAGAAAGCTTACTCATCTACCTGGGCTGGTCCGCCGCGGTCAGTAGTGTTGCCACAATGCGGTCGAAAGAATACAAATTAAGAAATAATGGTGAAAATTGGATGCTGGAACATTCGTGCACTTCAGGATAATGGCTCCAATCTTGAAAAGAAGACAGCAATCTTTGCAAATGAGGTCAACAACTATGACTTCAATTTCGATACTCGCAGTGAAACTATAATTATTTGCTGATGAAGGTTAGTTGAAGGAACTAATTGGCGGCTATACTTTGTTTTGCAAGGGAAACGATATTTCAAAAATTAGAACAAAATTAAATGGTGTCGGCTTTGCGGTGAAAAATCACAAAGCTGCCCAACTGGAATCCTTTCCAAAAGGTGTAAATGACATAATCATGGTTCTGAGACTCTCCGTTGGTAACTCATGGTTCTGAGACTCTCCCTTGGTAACTCATGGTTTTGAGAATTTCCTTTGGTAAGACCCGTTAGGCAACGTTTGTGAGTGCATGAACCCTTACGATGACCAAACCAAATGATGTCAAAGATAAGTTCTAGTGTGACCTCAGAGCCGTCCTTTACTCTGTCCCAGCTATTGATAAGCTGTTTTTGATTAGTGATTTCAACGCCTGAGTAGTGGTGTTCATCACTAACTCAAACTTTTACTAGCCAATAAGATTCAGATCATAATAGAGGCACCCCGGCTCCAAGCACTGGCATCTCATTGATTATATCCTCGCGCCAAATGCGGTCTGACCACAGACAGATTGTGAGTAACATCGCCATTATATCATGTCGAAAAAAAAAAGCTTCCACATTTGAAACTTCATCCCAAACGACTTGACACAAATAAACTGAAAAATAATTGCTACTTTGCAAAACAGCCCACGAAACAGACCTATATACTAAAGTGAAACAGATCTACTTCACTCTCAATGACATTGAATGCGATTGGGTTTTACACAGAGACACAATTTATGTAACAGTCTCTGAAACAATCGGCTTCCCCAGCCGTCGTCATCAGGACTGGATAGATGAAAACAGAAAGAAGATTCGGATCCTCTTTTAATAAAAGAGAAAGCTAATACAGTCCTCAGCCAGTAATCAAATTCCCTGTCAAGACGAGACGCATTGAGATCTTGCTGAAGAAATGAAGATAAATGAAAAATGACTGGTTTGAGGATAAAATTAGAGACTCAACAGTGGTCGGATACAAGCAGCACTCATACAATATGTGAGAGCCTACGCTGCATCCATGGTCCGTCTCGTTTAGGTACTTCACCCCTTCTTAAACAAGATGGTTCCAAGAGCATCACAGATAAAAATGAGATACTGAGGCGCCGGACCAACACTTTGAGAGCGGTCTAAACCAACACCGACCATCATGAATGAATTCGGAGTCAATCGAATCCCTCCCACAAATTCCACTGAACGCCTACCTTGATTGTCCCCCTACGAGCACTGAAGCCAAAAGTGTCATAAATGCCCTGTCCTTTAGTAAGGCCCTTGGCGCTGACTCTGTTCCTGCAGAAGTCTTTGCTTTTGGTGGACACCGTCTTGTCAATTACTTACCTATAGCTGGCAAGATCCTGGTCCGAATCTCCCTCAATCGATCGCCTTTTGAAATATCTATCTTCAAATGACGCTTTACCTGAAAGTCAGTGTGACTTCCGCACTAAAAGGGCCAGTGTAAATATGATCTTAGCAGCCAGGCACAGAGCAGAATAAAGCCTTATACATGGCCTCTGTGGATCTAACATAGGCCTTCGATACTGTTAGTCAGGAAGGTTTATGGAAAATCCTAGCAAAGTATGGTTGCCCGCCAGCGTTCTTTACTGTGGTTCGCCAATTCCATGACGGCATGAAAGCCAGATTCAGAAGAAATAACAATACTAGTATGGCTGAAGCAATGTCTGTAGTGAATGGAGTGAAGCAAGTCAGCGAAGATGCATGAAGCGTTCCAAAGAAAATGTCATGTACAGACTGGACTGTAAAATAGTCAACTCTCGTAGGCAGCAGGAAAAAACAAAAACTAGATCTAGTATGACTGTGAACAGCTATTTGCCGATGGTTGTGCATTGCTTGCTCAGAAAAAAATCAAGCATACAAAACTGGTTTGACCATTATTCAAATGCATCTGAGAACTTTGGAATTACAATAAACACAGCAGAAGCAGAAGTCCTCTGTCCCAGGTAATACGCAGACCCTCTCTCCTAAAATCAAACTGCACTCGTATATAGAACACGGAGCAATGTTGATAGTTTCATCTTGGCAATACGCTATCTTCAAATGCCCACATCGATGCAGATATAGACCTACCTATGACTAAAGCTAGTGCATCATTTGTAAGACTCATAGCAAGGATTTAGGACTGCTATAGCATCGCATAGAGACAAAGTTGAAAGTCTGCAATGTTGTGGCCCTTCAAACGTTGTTGTAATGTACCGAGACCTGGATGGTATACCAAAGCCATGTCAAGAAGCTTAATCATTTCTATACGAAATACCTCAGGAGAATTCTTGGGATTAAAAGGCAGGATTAAACACCAGACACCGAATTTCTCAAAAGGGCAAATGCCGAGAGTCTATTTGCTAAGCTCAAAATGATTCAACTTCACAGGGCTTGACATGTCGTAAGAATGCCTGATTTCAGAATACATAGGAGAGTATTCGATTCTGAGCTATCCTCAGGGAAGTGTAGGATAGCTGCACCAAAAAAAGCGCCACAAAGACACAATGAAAATATCTTTAAAGAACTTCAACATAAATACTTCGGCATGGGAGAGCTTTGCTCCTTCCAGACCCAGCTGTAGAGTAGCAGTCACAGTCGATAGTCAATAATCTAAGAAATGCTGAAGCAAAGAGAGAAGCACGCAAGCTGTGCTCATCCACAAGTGAGAGTGGAAGTCTTGAATGTTAATAATAATAATAATAATAATAATAATTATTATTATTATTAGTATAATAATAAATAGCATTTGTATGGCGAATGTCGCAACTCGAAAGCAAGCTCTTTGCCCTTTACACTATATTATTACCCCAGCAGACCATAGAACACTCAGAAACATTCTCATATCGTTATTGTGAATTAGGCACAGCCAGCTGAGCGACTGAACTTGAAAAAAACAAACATATTTTTACCGGGATTTGGATGTGCGTGCTTTTCTAACAGTGTTTGAAACTCTAACGTATTACTCACTGGAATAAAAATTCAGGCTTGTTGGTCATTGCTTGCAAAACATAGGGGCAGAAGTCTGTCGCAAGTTCAGTTCACCCTTTCTTACAATTATTTTTCAAGGAACATCAGAGTATATCAACAACATAATAGAGTATATTATAACTGAGTAGTTTTAGCCCTGTTAAAGACTCATAGCCTGCCCTTGAATAATGATGTTTCCAGGGGGATCAGAATAAACTTTCTGACATGTGAGAGTCTCATCAAATTGACGCTGAATTTCACTTTAGCTTTACTGTTCAAGCTTCGTCTATCAAAGGATATAAACATTTATATCTATCTATCTATCTATCTATCTATCTATCTATCTATCTATCTATCTATCTATCTCTCTCTCTCTGTATATCCAAGTAATGGAGAATATTGTCCTCGTGAGAATCACTGCATGACTTGGTTTAGTGGACTGTATTGCGCAAATGCTGGACCCTTATTTTTGTCATGGTGTTATTCTGGTAGATATATTCATGCATAACAAAGCACTTCTTCATAGGGCCAATGCCACTAGACAATTTTTGGGAAACCAAATCATATCAACGTCGGAGGTGCCATCAGTAAATAGGCCCAGCCCCGATTCATACTCGTATATGAAGTCCGATGAAACAGCTGCTGTTTCCAACTCTCTGTGACATTAGGGGCGAAATAACAGATAATTAGGTCCAAATTTGATAGTCGATGTCCGAAGGGTTCGTGCTCTACCCAAAGCCAATGGCATCTAAGCAAATTAACAATGAGCACATTAAGTGTTAACTCCAAAGCTTTGCTTGATATTCGTGATTGCTCTGACTTTCGTTTTGTTTGAAACTAGGGGAATAAAATATTGTTTAATGCAGAGACAAAGTCTCTATGAATTCGATCAGCAATGTATGTCCATTCTATGAATATTGATGCTCCTTAAAAAAAGCCAGAAGGTATTTTCACGTTTCTTTGATTTCGCACAACTTCTGTAATCTGATTATTTAAGGTAAACTTTGAGTGACCATATCTCGGGGGTCTCTTAATATATGTGAAACATTGATATCAGATAATGAAAAATTTATTTAACTTTAAACTGGTATGCTGCATGAGTGGGTAACACAAGGCCATTACACGATGATTGGCTGACTACATTTTCAAGTTTCTTTCGGGCGCTACTACTACATACATGATAATATAGCACTACATATTTTTTGTTTTGGTGAGTGTTTTGTGGTGCTTGCATCTGCACAATGTCATATGAGCGCGCGGAACACATTAAACATTCTCAGTTTGAAGGGAATCCATTTTGAAATTTGCCTAGGTGGGCACCGAAGCCCACTCTTATCGATTTTAAGACCCCCATGGAATCTTTAACGAGGGCAAATAGCACACGGTACCTCCGAGATTATTTCGCCCCTTTCTGAGAAGGCTAGGTGTTAGATCTTTCCTACTCTAAGGACAGGGGTGTAGCTGAAAGACAGCAGTAAGAAGGATCCAAGGAGTAGCAGTAGAAGTGATGAGCCCACAGAAGGGTGGGAGGGGTGGGGGGAGAGCAGAAAGTGGAGATGAAAGCAGATGACCCAACACGACTAGAGAGCCGGAAAGGAGGTGAAGTGAGAACATTTTAGAGCAGAAAATGTTCCTTCGCTCTCAGGTTTCGAACACAGGACCTATTAAATTAGATGTGAACATTGTACCTCTAGAGGACGAGAGTCTCTATAGGAAAAAAATGTGCATACTTCGAATTGCCACAGCTCGATTGATTAAAGACCAACAGTCGCCAAACTATGCATTGAGGTTGAAGTAAGTTGTTTCTGTAAATTGCGTGAGTTGTTGGTCAAGGGAGATAGCTCTGTGGTTTGAAAATCATTTAACTACTCTATAATGTGAGTATTTATACAATTGTTTATAATTTGAATCCTAAAGTCTGTTTGCGTCCAAAAACATACATACAGCGATATTTCTTCTTTTAAACCATTCCAAGTTTGTTGGAAAATAATAGAAGGAGAGCATTAGGAATGCTCCAGGCTGGAAGTACATGGCGAGATGTGTCTCAAAGACTCAATGTCAACAGAACTGGACGTTTGTGGGACATCTAAAATAACGAAAGCTAGACCTAGAAGTGGTAATTCTCCTTGGTTCCTTCTTACTGCAGTCTTTCAGCCACACCTCAGATCTTATGATAGGTAAGATCTACGCCTAGCCTTCTCGGACAAGGGCGAAAAATGTCGGAGATGCCGTGTGCAAGTTGCGCTCACTAAAGATCCATTGGTGGTCCAAAAAGTTTGGTCTGTCCCGCGTGTTCATATGACCTTATGCAGTTGCGTGTGTTGTAACACCTAACAAAACAACAACAAACAAAAACAAAAAAGTAGAAGTGGTAGCCTCGGCTCACAGCGCAGATACAATCCCGACACGTCTACTGCCTTCATCAGCTCCAGAACTGATTGCTTCCTTTATCAATACGGCACGTACTATATCTAAATAAAGACCAATCTCAGAGAGAACTGACCAGCACCAAACGTTAGATGAACTCATTCAATACCTAGAGACAATTTAAAAGCAGATTCCCCCACAGGTTTATCCAACAACTTATCTTTTCCATGCGTCGAGGCTGTCACTCTATCATCAATATGACACGTGAGCACACATGACTTCTTTCTTGTTGTATGTGTCTTCTAGAAAAGGAATTGATTTTCTAAGGAAAATTGGTTTGCAAATACAGTGTTTGATTGCTATTTGCACTTTCTTGGGACAGGGAATTTCCCTAGGGTTGTTGAGATGACGGAACTATCGACAAACAATTTAGTTGCACTGTTTTCTGCACAGCGAAGGAAGTTCTGAGAATATGACTAAGGACATAGAAATATTTTAGTTTTCCCCATACAACTGAGGCACAGGCGAAGATTTCCAGAAGACGTAAAAAAAATTCGTCACCTCATTGTGCCGAGAAAGACTTTTAAAAAATCACCAAAATCGCGGGTTCTCTAGGTGGAGGAGTTGTGTGCCAGTAGGGAATATTGGCAAGTGAAGTTTGCCGTCCCTTCTGGCCTTGATATTCAATATGGTCCGCATGTACTAAACACGCAGTATCAAGGACACTCCTAATTCATTCGTTGCTCAAAATAAAATCGGAAAACTCTAAGGATTTAAGAAAAATTAACAACTATGTCCCCGCTGCATAGGCTTTTGATTAAGAGAAACTGGGAGTTGGATTGAGTTTTTGCTGCTGGTGGGTTGTGATGTGGTGTATGGTGAATATTGTAGTCATTTACATGATGCCGTTGCAAATTGACACCAGGATGTCCAGCGACTCGAGGTAACAGGGTGATGTTTGATTGTTGGTACATTGGTTCAGTTTTGAGATTTCATTGACGCAATGCTCTTGTGGAACTTGGGATCGAGTCGCAAAGAATGTAGTACAGAAAAGAGGGAGGACACATAATTATGCCAAGGAGGTAGCCCAGATAGAGAAAGGTGAACCGTGTTTGCTTGTGGTCTGTAGCCTAGTCCAGGGTGGGAAAGACAAAGAATGACCAGACAATCGATCATGTAGTTAATAAAAATGTGGGGATGATGTCTTGTGTTTTGGAATCTCATTAGTTATTGCCAGATCTTTGTAAAGAGATATTGGCTATTCAAGAGAATTAGTGAAAGAAAAAAGACCAAAAATACCAAAAATAATAATGATAATAATAATTGTTTTTAAATATTTTTAAAAACATTGTATTACTTTTTTCGTTTATTATGCAGACGTCAATTTAGCTTCTGATGGTCTCAAGATTGTTTCATGCAACTTCTTTCATGATTAATTCTTCCCATGTTTGAAGCGCAGATTCTGTCCCAGTGCTTGCATGTCGTCAGTGAGGTGGATTGACGTTCTGTTTTTTCGCTGCTTTCCTCTCGTCGTTGGCGTTTCTCAACCTGATTGTTTCTGCGGCTGTTCTCTAGCAAAATAGTTCTCTCCTTTATCATTCTCCTTCATGTTTTCCTGTTCTAAGCTATTTCTTCTCTATGTACCTCCTTTTTGGCCTTCCCTTTGGTCTCTTTTCCTGGGCAAGTTATTCTCAGAGTGGATTCTTTGGAATCCGGTTGTCGTCCATTCTCTTGACATGATCCAGCCATCTCAATCTTCTTGAACGCAGAAACGTTGCCATGCTCTGGAGGTTTGCCTGGGCCAACACTTCAACATTGTCGACCTTGTCAAGCCACGAAATGCCTAAGATCTTGCAGCAGCATCTGAGATGGAAAATGCCGTGGCGCTTTTCTTACCTGCTGTACAAGGTCCATGTTTCAGATCCATAAAGGAGTGTGCTGAGGACA